AGGTTATCGTCTGAGATGATATTGTAATCAACAAAGACAACATGGTCGTCCACAAGATCTGAACAATGTGGAAAGGCCCTGCGGCATTCGCAGTTCAAGGAGTCTGGTAAGGTCATGTCAGGAGCAACACTCAATGCCACATCAGTAAAGTTGMAAAATTGGACACGTGTGGGTGGCATCAACTTGTCACATACACGAACATGTGCGGCCGCTTGCGGGTCAGGGTGCAATGCAGCTCCTTCTGGCAACTGCAACACATGGCGCAAGTTCGTGGCACGAACTACCTCATGCACATGTACGACCTTAATATGGTCAGTAAACGGGTCACGAGGTTGTGCTGTGTAACGTTGGCGGGTATGCTGGGATTTTCGGATGAGCCATTCGAGTTCTCGAATGTCTGCTGTCATGTCCGCATTGGAAACATTGTTATAAAGCCATTGCAAAAGTCGTGCCCGCCACGCTGGTTGTGCCCGCTCAATGTCAGCCTTGACACGACACCAGTTACCCGAAGCAGCTTCATGAAGAAGGCGATGGAGTGAGGTACGAATTATGAGTTGGGGACCTGGACGAAGATCAATAGCAAATGACGGAGGCGAAGGCGTTGGGAGGAGAGGCAAAGGCCGAGAGGGTGTTGGCAAAAGAGGTGCAACATGGGAGCCAGCGGGTGTCGGCAAAAGGGGTGATGTGTGAGGAGGATTAGCTGATGCAGGAATAGGTGGAGCAGGTGAGGGCTGAGCAAAAGGGGATTGCGGAACGAACGGCTGAGGGCCCATTTGTGTCCATCGGGAAGGACGTAAATGCCGCCGTGGAGATGGCAATCTAGCCATTGGAAGGACTGCATTGAAACCGACTGGGTGAAGCRTTCGAAGTTTTCGAACCCAAAAACCCTCGCGGGGTGCAACAGCCCTCCGAAAGAGGCCATGATGAACAAGACCTCCAGACGTATGATACAGGGTAGGATCGATGCATTCCAAGGGCGAAGCCGTGAAGTTGAATGTTGGTTGACCACTCATTGTGCAGTAGAAAAGGGGATGGTGAAAAGTAGCAGAAGAGTGTCGTGTATGCCAATGCTCTTGCAGCCTTTGGTGTGCAGAATGCATCGTCTGTCCAACATAAAAACGACCAGAAGGTAAATGAACAATTGCATAAATCACTCCTCGAACRGTGAGGGGGTCCATACCTAGCTCAAGAGGTTGTTGATCAACACCTCGCAATTGTAACTCAAACCGCTCCGCCTGCACAACATTGTTAAGATGACGGAGTTGTTTCTTGCGCCACCTTCCTGCAGAATACAAGTTAGTATTCCACTCCAAGTGTGCACGCCAACCTACACGATGAGAAACATATGTCTGGCGGTTCGACATGTGAGCATAAGCAAATGGGACAGCGTGACCTAGAGGAAAGTTTGGTATAGCACCTGCCATGCCAACGGCAGAAAATCTCCCGAAAGGGGTGGGAAGTATCGGAACAGCCCCTTGATTATTTCTCAATTGCAAATTCATTGATTATGAAACGATTGTTTTTTTTGTTTTTTTCTTATTTGTTTTTCTTCATTTTTTTATTTCTTTGTCAACTTTTCAATCCAAAGAAAGGAGGTGGGTGCATGAGGTGACAGGACTTTAGGCCCGACGGCTCAGGTCGGGATTCCTGCCGTCGTCCTTTTTGTTTGCTGTTCACAGTCAGCAGCATTGTCAAAGAGGGAGYTTGGTGTAAATGTGAAACTGCGTCTCCCGATGAGTGTGCAATCAGCATAAGTGTGCAACCAGCAGCAATGCCTAGAGCCTTACACCGATAGACCAACAGTGTCTACATAAAAAGATGTCATCAAGCAACTGACACATGCATGAGCCAGCGTAGAAGGATTATCCCAAAGAACAGGGAACAAGAGGTGAGTGGGCATGGAGGCAGCCGCCCGGGTCTGGCCAACCTTAGGCGGGCCGTAACTATACCCACTGCACGGGAAAGGGGTGCAACCCGTGCCCTTACGGTGACCGCCATCACAATCACATCATGCATTGAAGGAAAAAGTGTACATAACAGTTGTACACAACACATGGTCACAATACCAAGCTTACCAAAAAAGGACAAACAACCATGCAGAACTTTTGTAACAACATCTGTCATAAGAAACAATGGAGGAGCTGAGTTCACCATGAAACCAGCCAAATAGGCATACAGCTCCTGCGAAGAGGCAGGAGAGTCGTTAAGGAAGGGGGTGAGAACAACATAAAAAGAAAGATGTAGGA